TTCCGGATAATAATTAAATAGTACAGCTCTCTATTTTAAGTATTAATGATCTGCATTAAAGAAGTAGTACCTGTGTATGTCACTCAAATTCATTGATAAATAATACGTTTCTGATATGATCTTCATAATGTTTACTTTTTTGGGCAAAGTAATTTCGTATCACTTAATGCATAGAAATTGAGGAACGTTCCGGATAATAATTAAATAGTACAGCTCTCTATTTTAAGTATTAATGATCTGCATTAAAGAAGTAGTACCTGTGTACGTCACTCAAACAACTCAAATTCATTGATAAATTTAAATAACCTAGTTACACTCTGGTTTCGCTTTATCCATTACTATATAATTTGCATTGAATAAACTTGCAAAATAGTCCTTATTTTGTTATTGTTATTGCTTTGTTTTGATCATGAATCCTGTAAAAAAATCAGTATGCCACTTTTTACAATCACTATTTTATGGAGGTGCGTAAACTGAATCATTGTGATTTTATTAATAAAAAGAATTTTGTGACCAATATAAGTGTTACAAGTCTTTAACACATCTCCATATCTAGCTAGCTTATTAATGACCCTGGCCGACATGATTTTTCATTTATGACCAAGCTGATAAATTTTATCGGCTTAATCAGCTTGGTCGAGCTTTCAGTACTATTTAATTTTGATATTTAATCCAACCTCGTATTTTAGGTTCATTCATTTTACACATCGGAAATTTTCGTTTTTGACCATGCCAAATCGATCAGCCGATTTTTTTCACCATTGGCCAGAATCACTAAGCTTAATTGAATCATTCTTAAGTTTGAATAACTATTAGCACTAGTTGTTTCTTTTTTATTTTATTTGGCCCTAAAAAATGTATAATATCAGAATATTTAATGCTAACCTTACATTTGTTTTTTGTTACGATCAGAATAATGATCGAGATTGTTTATCACTTTTTATATTTTGATAGTAAAGAATAGGATTGAGTTCAGTTACAAACGACTACGATCAACTATAAGCAGACCCTAACTTTTGAATTGATTTTTTTATAAGTCATTAATTAAAGTTATTCAGAAATAAATTTTAGTCATAGTTACCTATAAGATAATTTCAAATCACCTTTAAAATTCAGAATCTTAAGAATTCATCATCGGCTACGCGGTCAGTCAAGTTGTTCCATAAACAATGAAGAATTTTAAGATTTTGAATTTTAGAGAAGGCATTTGGAATTTTTCTTATGCTAAAATTTACCCCTGAACAACTTTAATAACTTATAAAAAAAAATCATTTCAAAATTTAGCAATTTGCTTATAGAATTGCAACTAGTGTTCTCCAATGAGCCGGCTCAAATAGGCTTATCCTACACCCATTAGCTTATTTTGACTTATAAGCTGTGTAATATATGATATATACAGTATATTATATAGTGTACAACTAAATAAGCCAATGTGGAATATTGAGCAAGCCCATTTGAGCCGATTCATTGGAGAATTGTAGCCGTTTGTAGCCGAACCCATCCCTAGTAAAAAATAATTTGTATGCTTTTAGATGTTTAGCCGAATCGCTTTATTTTTTTCAATTATTTTAACATACTGTAAATCTATTCTTTATCACATTATAAAAAGTACGGTGGATTTTTTTTTTAATGTTAATATTCAATTTTCGCTGCAGATAAATTAATACTACTGTAGAACATAACATAACTCTGTTATAAACGTGATTAAGAATAGATTTATGCTAAAATAATTGAAAAAATCAAGGCGATTCAGTTTAGACATCTGAAAACTAGAGGTGTAGGCGGAACTGTTCCAGTAAACCGTACGATGCATAGCAAATTACTTTGACCAAAAAAGTAAACATTATGAAGATCATGTCAGAAACGTATTTATTAATTTAGTGTAACAAAATATGTATATTCGCGCGTTTGTGTAATAAGAAATGCACGCATTTTCCTAGTTTACGTATTTGTTTTAAGGTATTAGTAATAGAATACTCGAATGATTTTATTTTCAGGCGCTAATACTGTAAAAAATTCTCAGTCTCATTCATATTATTAGGCAATCCATGTAGTTCAAGACATGATCATTAACTAATAAGATGCCTGCAACATTGCCACGTAAAACCAGGAATAGAATGTATTATTTCAGATTTAATGTGAATCAATTGTTAGGGTAATAACAGATATTACGTAATATCCTGAGGGGTCTTTGATATCTTATATTAGTATATAAATTTATAATAGCTAATCAAATTTCACTTACGTGGGGGGTGGGAAGGGTATAGTAAAAAAAATATTACGTAATATCTGTTATTACCCTTATCATTTTATTTAAATTATACCAAAATTATAGTATTAAGTGAGTTATATCATTGGAATATTCATAGAAGAAAAAAAACAGTAAAAGGGTTTAATACTACTAAAACACTACGTTTTCAAAGCATAATTGTCCGAAGCGACGTAACGAATACTTATTTCTAGGCATTTTTAATGCACGTTTATGTAATGTCTGTATGTAACTACCAGTAAAAATCGGGAATTGCAGACGATCTGTAGTCAGTGTAACAATTATTACGTATTTGCCTCGAGTTTATACCAGGAAAGGGATTCGAGTTTTAATATAATAAATAAATATATACCTCATTAATAAAATCTCAAATAACGTTTTTTCATTTAAACTTGTCGTTAAATTTATCATTATTCTATGCTAATTCCATTAAACAAAAGGTGGCATAGAAACTAATCAAATCTCTAATGGCGGGCTGATCAAGTGAAAATGAATGCAGTTTAACTAAATGGAAGGTCATTACTGTTTCTGAACAAATTTTAAAACAAAAAAATTTATTGATAGCCTAAAATTGAATAATACAGGTAGAACTGTGAATAAAAACAGGTAAAAACGCGATACATATAATTTGCACGTATCACAATAGTAAGCCAATCGATGGCCAAAAAACTTTGACCTTCAGTATTATCATAATATTATAGATGGTTAGAAATAACATCATATATTAGCCTATAAATAACATGTGAAAAAAGGATTTGTGTAGAGAAACTTCACACTTCATAAAACTATATACGTTGTTGCATCGATGCATCTAAATTTTATATTTAAATATTTTTTTAAAAAAGAAAGCTTCCTTATCCTAATTTAGCGAAAAGAAGCTATAATTTTTTTTAAATGATTAGGCAAGCAAGCCTATTATTTAGTATTGAAATTTTCTTTTCTATAAAATTTGAATAGTGAATAATAAAATTTGAATAGTGAATAAAAAAATAAAATTAAGACCTATCAAATTTACGTTTATTATATGTATCATATATATTAAAAAAAATTTAATAATTATATAATTTCATACAAAAAATGAGTATAGGTTTTTCAAATCAATTTCTAATAAGAAATTTACAATTTTGTTTTGCAGCTCCTTACATTGGTTCTCTCAATATAATGAAAGAGATCAAACAATTTGGATTAGAATTTATATTGTTTAAAGACTTGATTATCGGATATTTTGGATTAACGTTTAAGAATAAATTATTACATCCTTGTCCGGGATCATCTGGACTTAAAAGACTTGAAAAAACGAGGTTATCTTCTTCAGGTAACCGAAAATTATTATTAGCAACTATCCATTTACCAGTAAACAGACTACGATCATTAACTAAAAATCTTCTATTTCTTCTATTTCTCCAAGGTTGCTTAGTTGGTCCTTCAACAATAACAGGAATTAATCCACCAGTATCAGTTTCACTAAACATAGTGCAATTAATTCCGAATTTTAATGGATTATCGTCATTATTCTCATTATTATGTACATTATAACACAAATTTATCACCATTCTATCATTAGATTGAAGGTGACAGTTGATCAGAGCTCTTGATCGGGCAAATTGATATTGATCGTTTTTCCTGCAATTTAAAGTAATAGTAGTTATCCAGCAATGGTTATGTGGAATAGATCGTTCAAGTACAATGGTTGTATCATCTGCCTTTTCAATTGGATTTTTAGTTATAAGATAACTTATAAGTGATTTATCTAAAAATGGTTTTAATGGAAGATTATTCTCATATCCGACAATCATCCAGGGTATTAAGAGATCTATTTGTGGGAGATTGTGAGGGATTTTCCCAATACGGTGAATTACAAAAAATGGAGTCTCTTCATTTAGGTAATCAATGCGAATTGAAAAGACATTTTTATATGGCTTTCTGTCTTCCCTGTTAAAAATTGTAGCGAATATTTTACAGTCTCCTAGAGTTGAAATATGTGGTGGCACTGGAATTGGTTCGACAACAGGCAAACTTAAATTATAACCTCTTATCATTCTAACATTATAGACATTAGAATAGAGTACTTTTATTCCATTTAAATGTTTTATTTTCAATTGTAAATCTTCAGGTAGCAATGAATAAAGCGATAATTTAAGTCCATAACCAATAATTTCCCATTCATTATAAGATTCCAGGCTCTTAAGCCAATCGGATGTGCTTTGATGTTTTGCATGATCACCTCCAACAGTTTTATTTCGTGTTTCTCCGTTTTCATTGACCACTTGCATGAATTTTCCACCAAGTTTAATTTCTTGCAACCTATTTATTATACAACGTTAAATAATTCAATAATTTAATAAATATGGTGGGTTTTTATAATAAAGATATTTACCAGAAGAACCCGTAGATTTCTCCAGCTTTAACTAAAGCTTCTACTTTTTGTATGTCAGTTAGATTATCGTCCAATGCATCTTCAATAACTTTAATATATTCTCTTGTCGCCTCTAAATCTTTACGTGATAATATAATTGAACCCTTTTCGCAATACTTAATTGTGCATTCATTTAATGCTAATTCCTCATTTTCATCATCCAAAAAATCATAACCTTCTTCAAAACTTTTAATCCATAATTCATCGAAGTTCTTGGATGTTTTTTTACAAATAGATTGAAAATTACTATTAAGAGTGATACTCATCAGATGCGAATTTTTTATAAAAAATGCATATCGGTTTGCTTCAATTAGAGAACCATTATTATGCTTCTTATAGCCTATTTCTATATTATGTTTTCGTTTAATATTTGGGAAGCTTGGTAATTGGTTTAACTCTATAGTTAGAGTATAATTATCTTCCTCTGATACTAAAATATCTTCCAATTTGTATTTATCCTCTTGACTAAGAGGAATTTTTCTCTTTAACTTGTTACGAAAAACTGCATTCTGCCAACCCATTAAGACATCTTCAGTTGATGACAAAATTTTTCGTATTTCCCCTAATGTTTTATCTTTATCTAAATCATCCATAATGTAGGATGATGTTTTTTCATCACTAATAATATTGACCTTAATTCGTTTTACATCATCGGGAAGTTTGGTTGGACGTGAATTAGGAAAAAGACTAATTTCCATATTGTTGTTGGAGTATTACGTAAAAAAGGTAAAAACCAAAATCGATATTATGTATAAATTTTTTATTAAATAAAGTTTTTTTTAGTACAGTCCGGACAGCAAAAAATTCACTTTTTATATATAAAATTATAAAATTGCTTATAACTCAGAAACAAATAACTTTTTAAAAAAATCTGTCTTACAGATTTGCTGCTTTTGGTTTAAGCTACAATAATGTTAGAATATATATATAAATATATATACATATAATTACGAATACATAAAAATTAGCAAATTACGTTTGATTATATAATCTCAAATTTTGGTACTTTTAAAAAAAAAATTGAATGTTTTTTGTTTTATGGTTCTGTATACGTTTGAATAGATAAATAAATATTTATTTTAAATGGATTACTTTAGAAATATAAATTGAAATTCATGTTATTATTGAGTTAAGGTGTAACATATCACAAATACGTATTACAAAAAATTTAGGTTATTTGAATGGTAAATTTTTTCAGGAAAGCATCAAAGAAATAGCTTATCTCTTGTTTATACTGTCTTACAATCTTATTGGTCTATGGTTCTTTATCACATTTCATTTTAATTTACACTATTATAGCGAGACGGTGCAAAGGTAAACAAGCTATGTATATTTGTATCCTAACGCAGTAGTGGTAATAACCAATACTACATGCATGTAAATAAAGTGTCTCGTGATTGTCCGGAAGGGGAGTACTACTATGTGACTTATCTATTTCGTAAAGCTGTTTGGTAAATATAACAATATAATTTCAGATTATAGATTATAGGTTATAAGTTTCAAACTTAAAAAAAAGACTTTTTAAAACCATTTCTATTTAGTCAAATACGTAGTATGGTATCAGATTAAAATAATTAAAATACGATAAATACATAAATCGCGATGGAAATTGATGATAAGTCGATCAAAACTACTCAAAAATCATGTATGTTATTGTATGGATACAGTCTCTGATGAAACATAAAAATATTTTTTTAAAAATAATTATTTCATCGGCGACTGTAATAATTGTTTGATATAATTGATTCTATTAATGTATTTAACATTAATATATTTAATGTTAGTGCATGAACACTTAGAAAAGTTAGAAACATGTTTATTGGAGGAAAATATAGAAAGATTTGAATTTTCACAATTTAAAAACATTGAACCCATTGGGAGTGGGGCATTTGCCATCGTATTTTCTACCATCTTTCAAAAAAAGAAATATGCACTAAAAGATTTAAAATTGAACTTATTCATGGATGCTGAAATGATTAAAAAATTCATTGACGAAGTAATGTATTGCTATAGATAATTAAATTTTAAAACAAATGTTCTCAACATCTAAATAAGTCCATATTCATAATGATTTAGATTAAACTTCTCAATAAACTAAGTAAAGATGATCACCCCAACATTATCAAATTCCACGGAATTTCAAGAGGCATGATAAAATTAATCTTTAAAAATTTAAATCGTAAAAATTTTGCCTTATGTAATAATTTAATAAATAACAGGTCTTCAGTCAGATGGTTTTATATTGGTACTACAGTTTGCCAACAGAGGAAATTTGCGAAGCTATTTATCAGGAAAGAGACAAAATGGATCTTATAAAGTTACTTGGACTGAGATCATTCAAATAGCGGTAGATATTACTAATGGATTGGCACATTTGCATAAAAGTAATATCATTCATAGAGATCTAGTAAGTTTCAATTTTTTAAATATTTCAATTTTTATACAAATTTGGAATTAAATGTCAATTCATCTTAAATCTTTCTAGCACTCTAAAAACATTTTAATAAACGATGGTAAAGCCTTAATTGCAGATTTTGGAATATCTAAACAATTAAGTGATACTGCCAGCTCCGGTTCAAGCCTAAAAGGAATACTTGCCTACATTGATCCACAACGTCTTCAAGGCAGTCCTGCAAATGGTAGAAAATCTGATAAAAGATCGGACATTTACAGCCTAGGCGTATTGCTCTGGGAACTCACAAGTGGAATTCCACCGTTTGAAGGTTATACTGCTGTGGAAATAATAAAAAAACTTTTAAACAATGAAAGAGAGAAAGCTATTGCTAATACTCCTCAGGATTACGTTGTTCTTTATGAAGAGTGCTGGTCTTCTAATCCGGATAAACGTCCAAAAGTAGATGAAGTTTTGAGACAACTTAAAAAGTTTTCGAGTAAAGCACCTGGCGAGTATGTATAGACTAATTTTAAAATCCATTTTTTGATGTTACATTAAAATATTTTCCTTTTTATGCTAAATTTCTATTAGGTAAGTATTTTAAAAGTTATCCTTCCTATTATTTTAAATTAAACTCTTTATTAAATTTGACATTAGTTAGATTATTAATTTATCACATAGATATAGTGCTTTGAAGTTGTTACAATACTTCAAGTATTTTTGCGTAATCGTTATTTAGGATAATGGCCTGGATTAAGCTTATTGGGCCAATTGAAATTACACCCCTACGCGTTATTCTGCTTTCTGAATTAGAATATAGACTAGACCACTACAGTATATGCAAAACACAATTTTCTTAATGTCAAATTATTAAGTGATCAATAAGAAATCAAATTTCTAAATACATTTAATGATAAGATTATGATTCTGACTTTTTTTCCTTTCTTATTAGTGAACAACACATCAATGTAGTCATTATTGTCAATAATGAAAGACGTATATATGCAATTAACGATTTGGATAAGTCATTAAACTTGAAAGAAGTTCGACGACGATTATCAACCGAAGAGAATTTGTTATTGGGTCGACAAAATATCTATTTTTATGATCGATTTAAAGGAAAAATATCACGAGATCATGAGAATAATTATACACTTGAAAAAATTTTAATTTCTGATGGTCTTGACCTTTCATTTTGTATTGAAATTGACCATTCGAAGCCAAGTTTTCCAAAAATTGTACAGCGATTTGATTTAGATAAAGGGCGAATATTTGATGACGGAGTTATGAAAATAGCTGAAAAACAAGCATTCACAATTAAAAATCTTCATGAGAAAGACATCAATATTCAGAATGAACACTCTATTAACATAGGCGATAGTAACAATACTGTATATAATCAGACGGGTTCTGCTAGTTTTTTACCGAAAGATTTGCTACTAACTGATGAATATATTAAAGCTATCAATGAAGCATTAGATGACAGTAAGAGCGCTGAAGAACAAAGAAAAGCTTTGGATCTAGTAGGGAAGGAATACGGTCAATTCTGGTAAAATATTTCCTTATCAATAATATAAAGCATTAAATTTTTTTAGAATTTAATCATAATAAATAATAATAGGGTACAAGGTATTAAACTTGGGAAAATTCCACGAGTCCAGGTCGAAAATTAGCGAAGCATCATCGTATTTCATGAATAAAGTAGTTATAAATATTTGAAAATTACAAATTATCTGAATTAATATAAATATTTTTATAATATGAATATCATGCTTAATCTTATAGAACTAGGATATTATCTACTTATCAAATCTTTGTTACTGTACTTATCAATATAGTTCAATATAATAACTTTTATTATGTTAAATTCTTGCACAATAACTTGAAATTATTTGTAATGATTGACCTTTTGAAAAATGGAATTTTTATATACTGTAACTTTAATTAGTATTACTACTAATATGTGAAGGAAGCAGGATATATGAATAAGATTCGTTAGATCTATTAATATGTGCCTAAAAAAAAAAAGGTTACTACGTATGCATTGATGCTTAAATTGCTTTGCTTAATAAAAATTATTAAAACATTTGTTGCATAATTAATATTTCAAGATCCAGTTAAGGAACGAAAATTTAAATTTAAAATTATAGCACTTTACTAACGTATTATACAAAATTCAGAAAATGGTGTAAACTATGCAAGAAGATTAGGTTTGGTTAATTTATAGTAATGATATAATTATACTAATTGAATTGGTTTTAAAAAGCTATTATACCTTTGTTTTCTGAAGCATATAAACAACTAATTAATTATTGGAATATCAAGCTTTACAATCAAAGAACTATTTAGTAATTTAAATAGGGTTGGACCTTTTGTGTAAGTTTTAAATTTTTGACGTAAGTTACATGTAAGTTATATCTAAAATCACTATGTGTATCTTAGTATAAGCTTGCAAAATTATGTAAGTTACATGTAAGTTATAATGTAACTTACAAAATTTGCCCAACCCTAAACTTAAATAAGGTGTAAACTAATTAAGACAATAGAGTAATTCTAGAACTGTTGGGCCTAGAAAAGAGAACTAGTTAATACTAGTGATCTTGTTTTTATGATTCGATATTAGAAACTTGTTTCAAAAAGCTCAATTACTATATCATTGGATTGGTCTTTATAAAGTAACAAAAGTAGTAAAGTATAAAAATACTATCTTGAATAAATGGATAAAGCTAAACTAATAACCTAGTAACAAAAAATCAAATCAAGAAATTGAAGGTGGATAAATTTAAAAAAATATTAATACTAATTATAATAAACAAATAAATAGAATAATGAAAAAATTATAATCTTTATGATAAAGATTATTGGGTCTAGCTTATAACAAGAATTAATTAATTGCAAGTAGTATATTGTACTAGAGTAGAACATAACAGAAATAGATTATATTTAAAAAATAATTAATGTAATATATAAGATAATATAGTATAATTTAGAAGCTAAATATTACAAACTTACAATATAATATTAAATCAGATTAGTAATGTAATTACAAATAAAAGTAAATAAATAAAAGAATACAGTATTGTTAAATTACGCCTCTGGCGATATCGTCTAGTTATATAATAACGCTAAATTTTATTATGAAAACTAAACCTTTATACTATTAAATAAAAATGCGTAGCATTAAAATTTACATATATACACACTTTTTAATCATAATCTTACCATAACACTAACCCCTAAAAGCAATTGTATTTTTTTGAAAAAATTAAAACTAAGCGATATTACAAGGGGCGTAAATTAGTCTTATTTTAAATATAAAGTTTGATAAAAATTACATTTGATTTTTTTGAATAGTAAACCTAAGTCTTGTTATAATGTAATTAAATTTCAAGAATAAAAGATAGTATAGTTACTGATTATATAATATAAAAGATAAAGAAGCAAAGTAGGAAACAAAACAAAAGCATTAGCATATTTTAAACACTAAGCAGATTTTAAATACATAGATATTTAATTAATTTTATAAAATATATATACTGTATACTATTTATTGAAAACTTATATATATATATTAATATTATAACATATTAGTCAATCAATTAAAATCAATTATTACGTATAAAATGCATCTATAGTCGTATAACTTTAAATTACACAGTTTGTATATACACATGCTTATTTATTGATTTACAAATTACGCTTAGAATTAGGATAAGGTTAGCTTTAACGTTTGAGGAGGTTATGCTAAAATTTTGCGAGGAATGTTTTTTGTTATAATTCCAAAAGCATTTTATAAATCGGATTTTGAGATATCAATATATGTGTGTATATACTCATGGTGTACAAATAGAAATCGTCTTATTGAAAATAAAAAAAAAAGCAATTTTATGTTAAAGCTAGAATAGAATCACTATTCTCTATTTTTAAAAATAAAAAATACTAATAATATAGTGAAAAAAAAAAGAAAAGAAAAGAAAAGGAATTTTTAGGCTATAGATAAAATAGATCACAATTCGTTAATTTTAAAATTAATACAATCAAATTTTAATAGAATATGTGCAATTCGTCTTGCACCTATTTTTAGGTAATTAGGGTTTTCTCAATACAATATAAGTGATTCGACAGTTAGGATTATTGCCCAGGTTGTTTGGTGACTTAATAATAGCATATTTTGGACTAATATTTAAAGATAAATCATTACACCCTTGTACAGAATTTGCATTTAAACATAAAAGACTTGCAAAAATTAGATAATTATCATTATTAGGCAACCGATAATTATCATTATTAGCTAATTGCCATCTACTAGTAAAAAGTCTACGATCATTGCTTAGAAACCCTCTAGTTCTTCTATTTTGCCACCGCTGATTAGTTGGACCTTCAACAATGACGGGAATTAATCCTCCATTATCATTTTCACTAAGAATAGTGCAATTAATTTCAAAATTTAATGGATTATTATGGTTATGTACATTGAGACGTACATTTGTCGTCATTCTATCATTTAATTGAGAAATATGGTGGCTGATCAGAGCTAATGACCGAGCAAATCGATAACCATGATTTTTATTACAACGTAAAATGATTGTGGTTACCCAGGCATGATTGTGTGGAATAGGGTTTGGAAGTAAAATATTCGTATTATCTTGTTCCCTAGTCCAGATATATTTTAGAGAAGAATTATTCACAAATGGTTCTAACGGAAAATTTTTCTCATATCCAATAACCATCCATGATATTGAGAGATCTATTGTTTGTGGAAGATTAGGGACTGCACCGATATGGTGTATTACGAAATATGGTGTATCATCATTCAAATAATCAATGCGAAGTGCGAACACATTTTTATATGGCTTTCTATCGGCTTTATTAAGAATAGTTGCAAATAGCTTACAGTCACTTAGTGGTAAAAGATTTGCTGGTAAGGGGACTTGCAAAATAATAGGCAGACTGAGATCATAATTCGCTATCCTAAAATTATGTACATCTGTATAAAGTATTTTTTCTCCAATCAACTTTTTTATTTTTAATTGTATCTCTTCTGATAATAATAAATAAAGTGGTAATTTAGGTCCATAATTAATAATTCCCCACTCATTATAAGATCCTGGACTTTTAAGCCATTCGGATATATTTTGATGTTTTGCATAATCGCCACCAACTGCTTTATGTCGTGTCTCTTCGTTTTGAGTAACTTGCACAAATTTTTTACCAAGTTTAAATTCTTGTATCCTATTATTAAATATATAAATTTGAAATAAATTTCTAAATTTAAATAGATAATCTTTTTAATGTTAAAATACTTACCAAAAAAAACCATAGTTTTTACCAACATCATTCAATGCTTCTACTTTTCGTTCATCAGGAAGATTTTCATCCAATGCACTTTCAATAGCTTTAATATATTCTTTTGTCGCTTCTAAATCTTTATATGACAATATAATTGAACCATTTTCACAATATGTAATTGTGCACTCACTTAGCGCCAATTTGTCATTTTCATTTTTTATTTCTTCATCTAAAAAATCAAAACCCTCTTCTTCCAAACTTTTTATCCATATTTGATCAAAATTTTTTCTTGTCTTTTTACAAATGGATTGAAAATCATAATTAAGTGTGATACTCATTAGATGTGAATTTTTTATAAAGAATGCTGAATGTTCTGCAGCAACTAAAGAACCATCTTTAAGTTTCATATACCCTTTTTCTATATCATGTTGTCGTATAATTTTTGGAAAGCTTGGTAATTGATTTATCTCTATAATTAATAAATAATGGTCATTTTCTGGAATCAAAACGTCTTCAAGCTTATATTTATCTTCTTGACTAATAGGAATTTTTTTCTTTAACTTATTACAAAAGAACGCATTTTGCCAACCCATTAATACCTCTTCGGTTGAAGATAAAATTTTTCGCGCATCTCTTAACGTTTTCTCTTTATATAAGTTAACTAAAATGTAAGATAATGGTTTTTCATCATTAATAATAGAGACCTTTATTTGTCTTTCATCATTAGGAATTTTGTTTGGACGTGAATTTGGGAAAAGACTAAAATTCATATTGGAATTATTATTAAAAGAAAATAGAACAGAGTGAAAATTGAGTTGTGACCTAATAAATTCGTTACATAGATTGGGTTAGGGTAAAATCCGCGTTTGATTTTTTTTTTTTTTTTTATATAAAAGCGGATTTCACCATCATGATCATAGCGGATTTTACTCAGGTTTCACCCTGCCGTAATACTTAAATATATATGAATTACTAGGTAACGGTAATAGATAATACAAATTTAGACAATGTGTTACTTATTATTTAAAATGACCTACCTTAAAAATAAATGATCATTATAAATCATTGAAGGTCTCATGTTGTCTCACGAAAATGTCGTTTATTTACAATGAATTGTTATCGTTATGATTTGGGTAACATCTAAAGATATATCGATATTGATCTTGTTTATCGAGCTTTAATAACAAAATAAACGCATGTGGGTCAATTTTACTCATTAGTATACCTTATATCGACAATAAGTGGGTGTTTAAAATATCCTATTTCTGTTTTGAAATTCCGAAATCAGAAAACGGAACGACTGATGAATTTGTCGGTGCGTGTGAAAATACGATTCAATCGTCCATGGATCACTAGTTAAAAATAACGCAACAAATTTTACAAGTAACAAGTGATATTTCGCACCTAGTTCTAACATCTTAAATCTAAAGTTCTATTTTACTTACGTACGTACGTATGTTGTTTGTTCTTTTTAAAGGTTTGTATTACTTGCACAAATAAGTAAATTTATATCTCTAATTTTATTTGTACTTTACCTTGTGATAGTACAATTCCGATTGACGATAAGGGTGGAGCCTAGTTCCTTTTCTTAATCAGGCACCTATAATATCGATATACGTTAATTTTTCAAGTGTTCTATAAGGGGTAATCGTATTAAGTAACTTTAAGATAGTGATTTTCTGATATCAATAGTCGAAATTGGTCTAATAATACATTAACACTATCTTTAAAATTTAAATAATTTCAAACTTTAATAGTATAATTTTAAGTGCTATGCTAATATCTCGAAAACTAGTCTAATCTTGTTTATCTTATTAATAATATAATCAAAAAATATGAATAAATTTTTGTTAAAATGTAGATATCTGATATGTTAATTGCCATAGTACGTTTATTATATGATTTATTTTTTTCATGATTGTCTAGTTCTAATTGTGGTAAACCACTGATCCATTAATTCTTGATACAGTTGATACTGTCTAATTGCATACTGTCTAATTGCATACTGTCTAATTGCATACTGTCTAATTGCATATACTCTCTCTAAATGCATAAAAAATTTTGACTTTTAATTATTAACGCAAAGATGGTTCTTATGACTTAAATGCATATATTGTCTATATACATAAAAAAGTCTCTGACGGATAGTATTCAATTAAACAGTATCGACTGTATTATTAGTATACTTTTTAAATTTAACCAATAGTTTATGAAATAATGGATCAACTTTAACGACTTTAACATATTAGAATCAGAAATTATAGCAAATAATTTTTTATTTTATGAATAATTTAAAAACTTTGGACATAAATGTCCTCCAAATATCAGGCTTTTAGCTTATTATAATCCCACTCGTTTATTTAAATTTCCAAAATATTTTATTTAGGACGTCTGTACGTATGTATGTATGTATGTATGTACATGATTTCAGTCACGCGACAAAAGGCATTACAATAATTAATAACAATTAATAATTAATATTATGTAATAAATAAACGCAGCGATTAGTGAAAATAATTTATTTATTGATTTATCGGAATGTCCTATTCAATTTACACTAGTCAAATATAAAAAAAAAAGGATTGAGGGTAGGGTACATCAAAAATTTTTCGTGTAACCAGTGTTTTTAATTAAAAATAGATCAAGTTGAAAGCTGACTCAAAAGCAAACGCACCAGGTCCTTATGGATGAACATAATTTAGAAGATGAACCGATCGAAAATATTCAAAACTCCGAAGAAACACGTAGGTTATAATATAGACACAAACTCCGGTGAAAGATTTAATTAATGCACAAAGGATGTTTCACTTAGTAAAAAGTTATGTTTATTACTTTTTATCAAGGACTAATAAATTTTGATTTGAATAAAGGGTATATGAAACTTAAAGATGGTTCTTTAGTTGCTGCAGAACATTCAGCATTCTTTATAAAAAATTCACATCT